GAGAGGTTTTATGGAATCTCAAGAGGTTTTGGGGCAGCTCTGGAGAGGTTTGGGAAGATCTGGAGAGGTTTGGGAAGCTCTGGAGAGGTTTTATGGAATCTCAAGAGGTTTTGGGGAAGCTCTGGAGAGGTTTGGGAAGCTCTGGAGAGGTTTGGGAAGCTCTGGAGAGGTTTGGGAAGATCTGGAGAGGTTTGGGAAGCTCTGGAGATGTTTTATGGAATCTCAAGAGGTTTTGGGGAAGCTCTGGAGAGGTTTGGGAAGCTCTGGAGAGGTTTTGGGAAGCTCTGGAGAGGTTTTTGGCAGCTCTGGAGAGGTTTGGGCAGCTCTGGAGAGGTTTTGGAAGCTCTGGAGAGGTTTTTGGGTGTTCTGGAGAGGTTTGGGAAGCTCTGGAGAGGTTTTTGGGTGTTCTGGAGAGGTTTGGGAAGCTTGGAAGAGGTTTGGGAAGCTCTGGAAAGGTTTTATGGAATCTCAAGAGGTTTTGGGGAAGCTCTGGAGAGGTTTTGGGAAGCTCTGGAGAGGTTTAAGGGAAGCTTGAGAGGTTTTTTTGGAAGATCTGAGAGGTTTTGGAAGCTCTGGAGAGGTTTGGGAAGCTCTGGAGAGGTTTCTCGAAAGCTTGAGAGGTTTTTGGGTGCTCTGGAGAGGTTTGGGAAGCTCTGAAGAGGTTTTATGGAATCTCAAGAGGTTTTTGGGAGGCTCTGGAGAGGTTTTTGGGTGTTCTGAAGAGGTTTGGGAAGCTCTGGAGAGGTTTTGGAAGCTCTGGAGAGGTTTTATAGAAGCTCAGGAGAGGTTTGGGAAGCTCAAGAGGTTTTATGGAAGCTCTGGAGAGGTTTTTGGGCGCTTTGGAGAAGTTTTCAAAGCTCTGGAGAAGTTTGGGAGGCTCTGGAGAGTTTTTGGGCAGCTCTGGAAAGGTTTTGGAAGCTCTGAGAGGTTTTGGCAGCTCTGGAGAGTTTTTGGGCAGCTCTGGAGAGGTCTTGGGAAGCTCTGGAGAGGTTTTGGGAAGCTCTGGAGAGGTTTTGGGAAGCTCTGGAGAGGTTTGGGCAGTTCTGGAGAGGTTTTTGGGCAGCTCTGGAGAGGTTTTGGAAGCTCTGGAAAGGTTTTGGAAGCTCTGGAGAGGTTTGGGCAGCTCTGGAGAGGTTTGGGCAGCTCTGGAGAGTTTTTGGGCAGCTCTGGAGAGGTTTTGGGCAGCTGTGGGGAGGTTTTGGAAGCTCTGGAGAGGTTTTGGAAGCTCTGGAGAGGTTTTGGGCAGCTCTGGAGAGGTTTGGGAAGCTCTGGAGAGGTTTTGGGAAGCTCTGGAGAGGTTTAAGGGAAGCTTGAGAGGTTTTTTTGGAAGATCTGAGAGGTTTGGGAAGCTCTGGAGAGATTTGGGAAGCTCTGGAGAGGTTTCTCAAAAGCTTGAGAGGTTTTTGGGTGCTCTGGAGAGGTTTGGGAAGCTCTGAAGAGGTTTTATGGAATCTCAAGAGGTTTTTGGGAAGCTCTGGAGAGGTTTTTCAGAACCTTGAGAGTTTTTTTGGAAGCTTGGGGGAGGTTTGGAAGCTCGGAAGAGGCTTGGGAGGCTCTGGAGAGGTTTTTGGGTGTTCTGGAGAGGTTTGGGCAGCTCTGGAGAGGTTTTGGAAGCTCTGGAGAGGTTTTGGGAAGCTCTGGAGAGGTTTGGGCAGTTCTGGAGAGGTTTGGGCAGTTCTGGAGAGGTTTGGGCAGCTCTGGAGAGGTTTTTGGAAGCTCTGGAGAGGTTTTGGAAGCTCTGGAG